ATTCATCCACAAACCTCTGAAGAGGATAAATATAGACCTACAAAAAATAAATAAATTCTATATCAAAACTAAAACAAAAAAATACTGAAACCAAATCATCTGGCGGTTTTTAGATACCTTGATTTTGTTCTTGGGATTGTAGCCACATCTATACACATCAAAACAGGTGTGCATTCGACAGCTTAGGTCCCCCCTCTCTGGTATGGGGCTGGATACAGGTAGTCGGATGAGAGGAGCGTCGTGTACGCTCCCTTTTTCGAGTGTCCATTCAGCTGAGGATTCAATGGAGTGTGGCCAAAACTGGAACATCCCAGTGGCGATTAGTCCCAGCAACACAAGGGAGAACAGGGCGATGTAGTAGATGCGATGTTTGGTTTTCATTCGAGGGATTAAAGCAGGGCCCCGGGAGCCATACTTCCCTGAGGCATACATGATTGATGCCCCTCAGTCAGACCAACCGCTGTAGAAAAGAAAGAAAAGCACCCCGTTCAGAAGCTTTATAAATCGAGAGTATGATTAACAACCTGCTGTGGTTGATGTGTTCTAACTAGATGCTAACACAGTATTAAACGTTTTAATAAACATGCAAATACTTTGAGTGCCCTTTAAAATATACAAAAAGATTTAATAACCAGCCAGAGATTGGCAAACGAATAAATTAATATCACAAACATATTTTGATAATGATGTTTAGCTCAAATCTTTATGCTAACAGCAGCTAGCGAAACATGGCTAGCGGCTAAAATAACAAATATGGAAAAAAATAAAGCAGAGAGACAACTGTCTCATATTTCTAAATGACTTAATACATACCGAGACGGTCAACTAAATCTCAAATTCAGTCCTCATCCATCTAGGCTGTGACAAAACTAGGGAAATAACAAATGTGCAAATGTAGCTTCGAGCTAGCGCGAACCATTCCAGGACTTCCGGGGAGTTCTTCTTTACCTGTGAAATATCCTATAGCTAAGCACAGCACCACCTACTGGTTGAACAGTAGAAGGTCAAACTAACCTCATTTTAATTCAATAAAATACAGGCGCATATTTAACAGTTTTGTATTTTTCTGTGTCTGTAGTCGTTCAAAAAAGTGATCCCCATCTTTACAGATTAATAAGGGTACTTTTCTGTTGGCAAGTAAAACTTTTTTTTGAAAAAGGTATAATAGAAACCAAATGGAAGAGATAACTATTAAACAGATGAAGTTTGGATTAAATTGTCTTTTTTTTTTTAGCTTAAAACAGCAGAGCCCTCTGCTACACTATTTAAATATGACAATTTAAATTTAAAATGTCCATAATGACAATGCTTCTAGGTTGAAGAGCAAACGCCTCGCAACAACCAGCCAGCGAACAAAGTTCAAATTTTACAATACGGGAAAGATACCCTAAAACTTGAACCCATTCTCATTTTAGTATTTTACCTAATAAAACAGCCCTGAAAATGTTTGTGCTTATCTTATTAATCTAAAGGTTTTTAAAAAAAATATTTTTTCCATCCTTACAGAATCCATGTTACAGAATGCTTAGATTGTTTTACGGTGCACGCCTTCATTAATGCATTTTAGTGGTGAGGGACAGCTCCGCTTTGACAGGGAGGATACATTTCACAGAGGCTTTTAATCAGTAATGTGGCAGATAAAAATATGATGGTTAAAAAAATAAAGATTAGGCTGTTAATGTCATTAGTGGCCAACACTGGGATACACAATCTATAGCTGGCTTTATCTAACTGAAAACATTGCATCCTAAGTTGATCTAAAGTGTTTTGCAGTACATTTCAGCTTGTACTTAAAAAGCTCAAACAACCCATTCTGTCATTTAAAATAACTCTGGATTCAGTAGCTTGAAAACCACATTGTTTACAGGTGCTGGTCATAAAATTAGAATATCATGAAAAAGTAGATTGATTTCAGTAATTCCATTTAAAAAGTGAAACTTGTATATTATATTCATACATTACATACAAACTCATATATTTCAGATGTTTATTTTGTTTAATTTTGATGATTACAAATGACAACAAATGAAAATCTCAAATTCATCATATCAGAAAATTAGAATATTGTGAAAAGGTTCAAAATTGATGGCCCCTGGTGCCACACTCTAATCAGCTAATTAACTCAAACCACCTGCAAAAGCCTTTAAATGGTCTTTCAGTCTAGTTCTATAGGCTACACAATCATGGGGAAGACTGCTGACTTGACAGTTGTCCAAAAGACGACCATCGACACCTTGCACAAGGAGGGCAAGACACAAAAGGTCATCGCTAAAGAGGCTGGCTGTTCACAGAGCTCAGTGTCCAAGCATATTAATAGAGAGGCGAAGGGAAGGAAAAGATGTGGTCGAAAAAAGTGTACAAGCAAGAGAGATAACCGCACCCTGGAGAGGATTGTGAAACAAAACCCATTCAAAAATGTGGGGGAGATTCACAAAGAGTGGACTGCAGCTGGAGTGAGTGCTTCAAGAACCACCACACACAGACGTATGAAAGACATGGGTTTCTGCTGTCGCATTCCTTGTGTCAAGCCACTCTTGAACCACAGACAGCGTCAGAAGCGTCTTGCCTGGGCTAAAGAGAAACAGGACTGGACTGCTGGTGAGTGGTCCAAAGTCATGTTCTCTGATGAAAGTAAATTTTGCATTTCCTTTGGAAATCAAGGTCCCAGAGTCTGGAGGAAAAGAAGAGAGGCACTTCATCCACGTTGCTTGAAGTCCAGTGTAAAGTTTCCACAGTCAGTGATGGTTTGGGGTGCCATGTCATCTGCTGGTGTTGGTCCATTGTGTTTTCTGAGGTCCAGGGTCAACGCAGCCACATACCAGGAAGTTTTAGAGCACTTCATGCTTCCTGCAGCTGACCAACTTTTTGGAGATGCAGATTTCATTTTCCAACAGGACTTGGCACCTGCACACAGTGCCAAAGCTACCAGTACCTGGTTGAAGGACCATGGTATCCCTGTTCTTAATTGGCCAGCAAACTCTCCTGACCTTAACCCCATAGAAAATCTATGGGGTATTGTGAAGAAGAAGATGCAATACACCAGACCCAACAATTCAGAAGAGCTAAAAGCCACTATTAGAGCAACCTGGGCTATCATAACACCTGAGCAGTGCCACAGACTGATCGACTCCATGCCACGCCGCATTGCTGCAGTAATACAGGCCAAAGGAGGCCCAACTAAATACTGAGTGCTGTACATGCTCATACTTTTCATGTTCATACTTTTCAGTTGGCCAACATTTCTATAAATCCTTTGTTTTTATTGGTCTTCAGTAATATTCTAATTTTCTGATATGATGAATTTGAGATTTTCATTTGTTGTCATTTGTAATCATCAAAATTAAACAAAATAAACATCTGAAATATATGAGTTTGTATGTAATGTATGAATATAATATACAAGTTTCACTTTTTAAATGGAATTACTGAAATCAATCTACTTTTTCATGATATTCTAATTTTATGACCAGCACCTGTATATCAACTAAAGCACACATTATCTAAGGACCAAACCATCTCCTCTCACCCAAGAAAACCCAGCTGTGCATCAAAACTCATCAGGGCTACATGTGCCACCTGATTTTATCACATTCTTATTTCAGGCATTTGTACCTCTCGAATAAAAGAAAAAAAAAATCTAGTCTAAACATCCCAACAGTCTTGGGGATGCAAGTTGCAGTTTTTTATTTTTAAAACAGCAAGTAACGCAGTGACCATTATTCATAAGGAACATGTACAAGTGCAGCAAAAAATAAAAAAAATCATCTAGAAGAGTTAATTTATTCCAGAAATCTAGCTAATAAGTTTCAAATGCAGACCCTTCTACACTCCGATTAATTTTTTTCATTTCCAAATTCAAAGATACATTGTTTTTTAAGAATATGAATAATAATACATTTGACTTGACTTGGTGAAAACTGCCAACTTGACAATTGTACTGCAAAACGTCAAGTGGTATAACCTTTAATTGCTCATAAGGCCGACAGAGTCTTCTATCCAAATATATTAGTAGAAAATTGAGTGGAGGGAAAAGGGAGCACATGCCACAAGGAGAGCCATGAGAAGAGTGCGGTTTGAATCTTCCTCAAGAATTTTAGGGAGATTTGGAAAATATGGACTTCCACTGCAGCCAGAGCTTTAGAACTCATCACACAGAGGCACATCTTGGATATGTACTAACACATTACAAATGTTTAGCTGCTCCTGGACCAGAGACATCAGATGCATCTGATCACAGCTACGTAAAACAAATACTTAAATGTCACCTGGTTGTTCAGAATCCTCTTTTAAAATATTTGTTTTGCATTTTAACTGGAAAACCATGACATTAACTCTGCAGGAGAGCAAGCTTCTTTTATTTAGAAAGCACTTAAAACACAGCAAGAACTGATCAAAGTGATCAGACTATTAAAAGCATAAAATTCATGTTAAAGTCTGGAGGAAATGTGGACGTACACAGAAATTATTCCTTATCTCACAGCCGGTGAGAATTTAAAGAGTCACGTCATCCACTGCTGTTCCCGTGTTTTGTTAAGTAAATAACTAAGAACATAGTGGGCATTGTGAAGCTGCCACAACAGCAGAAATTCTTAGAGCGCTTCATGCTTTTCTCTCCCTTTGTGAAGATTCCTAACATCCCAGCAGGTCTTTGCTAAAGTCTATGCAGTCAAAAGAACCAATACCTGGTTTGATGACCATGGTATCCCATTTTGGCCAGCAACTATGCCTTTAAGAATGTACATGTATTATTAACAGGAACATGACATATATCGAACCAAAAAATCCTGCATTAATACAATAATTCATTCCTAAGGAGTCCCATCGTTATATAATCCATATACAGTGCTGTACATGGAGGTTCTTTTCACTAAGTCATTATTTCTGTTTGACATTTATTTTTTATTTTTACATAACAATACCAAATATCTGATGACTCAGATTATTTGAAAAGCTGGAATTAATAAAAAAGCAACTGTAAAAAAAGTTATGACAGAAGCATGTTGTTTTCTCCAATAGTTTGTAGTTTATTTCATTACAGGCAGGGCAGTGGGGGAAAGGGGTTAAATACATTCTCAATGTGGGGCAGGAAAGGAAGGGATGCAAACCAGGTAAACATGGACAAGACATAGTTGAATCATTTCTTTTTTGATATAGATGAATTTGCAAATCTGCCAATACCTTAAATAAATAGCTTGATTTTTCTTCTACATGTCAGTACTGATCTTTTTAAGAAGTCTTATTGTTATATAGTTGTTCTCTACACGACTCTATGGGAATTCATCTTACAGATATCTGCACAAATAAGTACACGTAAAAGACAGTGCTGTACACATCACAATGGAGAAAAAAAATTGTACTTTCTATTGGTAGAGTTTAGTCTTTGATCAACTTCAGGCAAAGCTACTGCAAGTAGAAACAGTCCGACATTAATGTGCCTACCAGGACTGGTAATAGGGTCTAATTAATGTCTCATTTAAACCAGTTTGCTGTAACTATAGTAGATCTATTTCCCATTACAGAAGCTGTGCAAATGGTTAGTGAGGCCTTGAGAGTGGCATCAAATGTTGTTTTGCAGCAGGTCTAATCACTTTGAGGAATTGGTGAAGATTACTAAAAGACAAACAAAACAAATGTAAAAACATAAGCATGCCATGGCAGAATGTTACACATTACTCGTAGAAAAGGGGAAAGACGGCTCCTTATAGAGAACTTGCATCTGGGATGAGTTTCCCCCATACTGTCCTAAAAACATAGGAGAACGACGACACCAAAGCCATTCTTTTGCAGGACTAATAAAACCCATCAAATATAGTGTTAAAAGTGACAACATTTACTGTATTAAAAATTGCAAAACATGAGCAACTTGTCAAACTCAAAGTGCTATGGATGACTGAATGCCATTCGAGAAGTCAGTCCAACGTTAAATAGGATAAGCCGGATTAAAGGGAAGTAAAACAGTTGACCTTCAAACATGAAAGCACCGTCAGTAGGAATACAAAAACACCTCCTGATACACTTTGACTGCGGATTAACCACTAGTCTAAACTTGGGTTACGTAATAATGATCGAGATACGGTGACTATTTTCTTCCTTTCTGGACAAGTTCAGAGCATCTTTACTGCGACTTGATGACAAGACTTGTTATATACAAGCCATGCTACATTGAAATGAATTAGGCATGCAAACTTTCTGAACAAGATATTTTAAGACAATTAGCAAGTTTGATATTGGTTTAACCCCAGCGTGCTCAGGTTTTTGTTGTTTTTTTTTACATGACAGGTATGGCAGCATTTTAATGTCTGGATGACATTGTCTCTGTGGTGTAACAGTCTGGATGGGAACTGACAGAATAACTAGAAAGGAAATACTGAACTAAGCCTGTGCTTAAATAAGGTAATATACATATATATTTAAAAAATTACATCTCATAAATACATTTGGCAAGACAAGGTGTTGTTTTTTTCTTTTTTGGCAAAAGTGGTAAACTGAACAATGTGTGTAAAGAGTAACAAAAACGTCAATCTAGGTGGCTTAGTGACAGGTTCCCCTTTGAATAACTTAATAAAAAAATTGCCATGCAATATAAAGTGTAACCAAAAGACTTCAAAAACATCCATAGGCATCTGATATAACTTCGTCACAATCACTTAATGTTTAAGACACGGGTATTCTCACCAACATCACGCACTCTCTTTCTCCAAGTCAGTTCTTTGTAGACCTGAGGAACGTTTCTTATTGTTTTGTATTTTTTTTTAACTTCTTTTTATAAACAAATATCCCATCTTCACATTCTGGATTTCTAAAAAAATAAACAAAAAAAGAAAACAACCAAAACATGATGAAATAAAACTGAAGCTGGTCAAGTTCTCAGAACAGCTGAAGAAGCAGGAAGAGGTCCAGTACACCGACCAAGATGTTGTGCCTCTGCTAACCGTTCCGACAGCATCAGTTTCTGATTACCTGCTCAGTTAATGGTTCTCCCTTTGCTTTTGCTAAATCAGGGAACTAGACGAAATGTAAAAATGTCCCCATGTGGGTTAGACATTGTTCTGGATTGGCATTGTGAAGCTACAGTTGCGAAGCAGCACAGCACCCTGGCATACAGAGAGAGGCATCTTCTTTTTTTGTTGTCATTGCAATACTGTGAAAATGTTGAAAAGAGACACCTGAAGAATGAATGTAGTGTGTGCGTTGGTCCATTAGGTCTGCTCACTGGATCTCGGAGTGTCAGGATTCCATTCTGTGGATGTGTCGGGATATGTTTAAATCACCTGACCTCTCCGTTTGGAGCAAAGCCTCCAGAACACCCTAAACTACTGATGAGAGCGTGTTCTCTTCAGGACAGTGGCAGGGGCTGGATGTTCGTAGGGAGTTTATTACTGGCAGGACGCCCTCGCTTGGTGAAAGGTCATTGAGCTCCTCTGATGAGGAGAGAGGAAATGATGGGGACAATGATATGCCTGAAGAAGGATCGGCAGAGCCAGCAAAAGTGCGTGGAGGTTTGGGAACAAGGTTAGGCTCCATTGTCGCTCTGGCCAGCAGTTGCGCATCATCCAGCTGCTGTCCATCTCCGAGACACTCACTCTGTCCAAAGGAGCCCCTCCCAGACTCCGACTCCCCATCAGACAGGTCCAGGGGCGGCGAGCTGCTACCATCCAATCTAAAGAGAGAGTCTAAGTACTGGGCAAACTCTAGCACAGCCTGACTGGGGTTCCCATTAGTAAGCGGAGGTGGAGCAGTAAAAGCTGCCAGACTGGGTTCTTCACTCAATGGTTTCTCTGTCGTCTCAAACCCTAAATCCTCTCTTTTAAGATCCGTTAATCTAGAACCAATCTGTGGGCTTAGGGGAGCGTTTGGAGTGCTCCCTGGGCTGTAGACACCCGGCATCTGATCTGCATCATTAACCATTGCTGATGCTGCGTTAGGCTCGTGTTTGATAGGCAGATTTAAAAGAGCTGGGGAGTGGGGTCCGCTGTAGCGTGGCGTGGCAGGAGAAAGCTTCATGGGGTAATCTGGAGTGGATCTGCATTCATGTGGGGTAAAGAACGGCCCAACTTCACCGAGGTGCTCTGGTGAGGCCTGGCAGAGGCAATCTGCAGCCAACAGTTCAGTCCGGGAACTGAGAGATGGGTTCTCCTCTGGTATTGGGGCATCCAAAGGGAACGGTAAACTACCCAGCATTGGCGACCCTCTGAAGGCCGCTGAGGAGCGCCGGGAATCCAGGCTGTAGAGGGACTCTGCGTCTGAGAGGCTTTCCATGACGGCCAGTGGAGCTTTACGGTCCCTAAGCTCCACCGTTAGCCGCTCCCGTGCTCCACGCAGCACTACAGGAACTGGGGGAGGAGGGCACTCAGAGAAACCATCCAGAGATATCTCAGACTGGGCACACGAACTGGAGGATAGGAAAAAAGCGGGTTTGAGAGGAATGGCAAGGATAGGAAGGGAGTGGGGGACCCAGAACAAAGGACAGACAATAAAAGTGGATCAAAACAACTTTTGGTGGGTTAAAGAGGAGGAAAAACAGGTAGATGTTAGTAAAGACATTATCTAGACAGCTTAATCTACGTGCCCACGTCAACATAGGTTAATGCAAGAAAAAGATGCATGAGTAAAGGATCATGGGTGCAGGTCATTTTGCTCATGGTTCCTTGTTTCCCAACACCTTGAGTGTCCAATACATTTTTTTTTAAGATAAACTAAAAGAAAGGATGTTAAATGCCCTTTCTTCTTTTAATACCATGAGTAAAGGGCACCAGGACAAATGTTTGCATAATGAGAGGCACCCATGAAGGTTGTGCTAGAAGTGCATGTAGGCCCTGGATTAACATCAAATACAAAAAGGGTACATTAGAATTCAAATGCTTCTACTACTACTACTACTACTAGAACTTCACACTGACTTTGGAGGAGTGAACCAGAGGGGGTCAGTTGGAAATCAAGATCTGCCATACGTTACAATTGCTCTGTGGTTACAGCGTGCAGGCGTGCAAGAAAGGGGGATCATATTGTGCAAAATTAGTACCAGCATGCCATTCTTACCGTAACAAAGGTTTTTCTCTTTTTTTTTTTTTTTTAACAGACAAACAATTTGAGAAAACAATAAAGTAGCAGTTAGTTGCAGTACTAAGTCTGCCAGCACTACACAGTTAAATATGTCTATGGTTTAGTTTCACATGTTCTTTGAGGATCAGTCACATCCACAGCAGAGCCTGGCTTACTAACCGAACGCTGCTATTCCTGCGGTGGTGGGCCGCCATGGGCGTCGGCTCCTGAGAAGCCGCATCCTCAAAAATGGTCTCTGGGTTCAGGTCTACTTCGGTGGGGCTCACCATGATCTTGGCTGCTGACAAGAGAGCCGTTTTTCCTTTATTGTAGTTCTCCAGCACCTGTTAACAGCGCAGAGGCACGTACACAAACACACAGACACGACTTCAGAGACAAATGTTGACTCAGTTCAGACTGTACACTCAGGAAAGGGAATAATTGACCGGTTAATCGAGGAGGAAATATAATGGTTGATCACCTGAAATGAGAAGCAACTTTATTAAAACTGAACCATAAAAAAACTGACCCACAAACCCAATTACCTACTCTATTCATTAGTTTTTATTAAAAAAGGAACATCTCTCTCTCTCTGTCTCTTACAGAAATCCTAGAATAAATCATCACAAAATGGAAACAATGCTTTAGATAAGTCTTTGGATGACCATCAGGAAATAAGAGAAGCCTAAACAGTAAAATTACAACCATATTTTCACCTTTAAAAAACAGTGATGATATAATAGATGGAAGTGAAATCTGAAAGTGAATTTACAGCCTACTGAGGCTGACATTAACCATCCACAGCTACCATGATGCCTCAGAGAGAACGCCCATAGAGCCCTCTCTCTAGAAAATAAGTAGTAACAGAGCAAACGCCACAACTACAAATGTTTAGTGATCTTTAATGAGTTAATGAACACAGTAACAAAAACATAAATATGGTGGTAGAATGAAATAAAAATTACATGGAGTGGGACAGAGATAAAATACAATGAATAAAGGTTTAGTCATTTAAAATGTGTTAAGGACCTTTCCATGTAGATGATAAGGGAGAGTTATAATAACATATCTGGCAAAGTGTAAGCAGTAAAAAAAAAGACAGGAAATCTAGGACTAAAAACATTGTTTGCTTAACTTAACGAAAAATGAAACAATTGATGGCAGAAAATAAACGTGATCGCATTATAATCCTACAGCTAAATATATAGGTGGTTCATCTTGTGTAATGACATCAACATTGTAAAGACTTATTTCACCTTTCAGGATTTAAATATGCAAGCATCAATCCTCAGCTTTACCTGGTAATATTTCCTTTTTAAAGAAATGTGTAAACTTAGAAAAATTAGGGAAATGAGCAGAAGCTTTAACATCCTCCTTCCTCGGAATGAAACCCAACCAACCGATAATGAATGCGTATTTTTCAAGTCTATATGAGAGAATAGTGAGGCAGAAAGAAGACAGAAAAACACAGCTGAGGGTAGTGGGAAATAAAGAGCGCTTAATGAGTTAGAAATTACATTACCATGGAAACTCTGAATACATGAAAACTTGTGAGGTGGTGGAACAAATGTGACAAATTTTCCATCGAGGCACTTGACTGAATGTACAGGCGCAGAAAGAAAGGGCTGAAAAAAAGAAGTCAAGTTATAAATGGAAAAAAAGAAAAAATAATGGCTAGAGGAGAGAGGATAGAACCTGTTTAAAGAGTTTTTGGTTAAATTAGAAGCATTACGAACTACTCTTGCAATGTGTGACGTAATGCTGAAGTCATTGCTCAGTAAAACTCAACATATTTGTTACCCAAAACATTTGAGTAAAAACACTTTTTTATGTTTTTGCTAAAACACTCAAGTTAAATAAAGCGGTCTCGGTTTGATGCATTTAATTAGTGTTTTATGTGGAAAATAAAACTAAGCAAGGGGCCGAAAGCAGAAGGTTTTACCAGTGAGTCCTTTCTACATATTTACAATAAAAGTAGCCAAACTCATAGTTCTTTAGTTGATTTTTTTTAAAGTGGAAGAAATTAGAACGTCTCTCCTCCTGCTCCTGGACTGCTTTAAAAGATGTAAATATATGTATCCAAAGAGGCCTTAAAGGCCAACATCAAAACCGTCACAGAGCCGTTTGGCCTTTCTTCAACATAACGGACAAGCGAAAATTAAACTAAGTGCTTTAATAGTTAATTGCAGCAAGTTTAATACTGGATATTGTAAAGTTTAGACTAAGGAATCAATAAGCTGCCCCGACACTTGTAAACTGCAGACCTCGTCATTGTGCAAAGAGCCTTGTGATGGTACCATCTTGAGCGGAGAACTTTCAGTGTGAGAAGAGTTAGACTCAACACACAGGACTTCAGAGAGAGGGGTAGTTATCATATCTTCGTTGGAGTGATGAATGCATGGCACTGACATGGTTTTTGCTGGTACGCATGAATCATTTTGAGCTGGGAGCTCTCCAGTGTGAGGGGTAGGGGATATGTTAGAAGGCGAAGCGACAGACGGCAAGCACGGCTGGGAGGCAGAGGTGCAGCCTGACAAAGGAGAGGGTGGAGGAACAGGTTCTGCATCTGGAAAAGATGGAGAGGGGAAGGCAGTTGGAAGGCAGGAGATGGCTTCAGTTTCAGAGTGGGATTCAGTGCCAGGTGGGTGTTTGTGGGGAGTGGAAGAAGTATCAGACCGAGGAGGACTGGAGTTTAGCTCTCTTTTTGGGGTTATAACATTAGTGCTGTTGCAGGCGTCCTGAATGAATTCCAGTTCCTCCATTTCCAAATTTTCCTGCTGAGGAAGGGGACAAAATGGTTCCAGCACCTGTTGAAACACCAGATGTATCACACCACAAGCTGGGAACAGAAGGCAAATATACACAACCAAAACTGATCTTACCCAGTGAACCTAAACACACACACACACAGGTAGGAAGAAACACCAAACATTAAGTCTGCAGCCACAAAAAAAGCAAACCCACAGCTGATCCTTCCCATGCAGGCATACATATTAACAGCCTGTTATCAGAACAGATTTTCATTGTCCTAGACAAACCTGAGAAGACCACCAACCAACCAACCGTGACAGAACAGTTCCCATGCTTTGAGACAGGACTGACAACAAAAGACATAAACAGAGAGGTCAAGTTATAGGTTACGAATGGCTTACATGCACAAAGAAACCTTTAAAACTGCACTCGTTTTTAGTAAGAAAAATAATAAGCCTGAGACAATATTTGTAGCAGTCAATGGACTGTTTCTGTAAACCAGTTCAAATGTATGTCAGGTGAAACGTCATAATGGCAACATGGTTTTCATCCATCACTAGAAGATATTTTTCAAAGGAATCATTCCCTAGGTGTTTCATCCTATCGGTTATGGTGATAAAAAAAAAACGTAAAATCTAGTTACATCAGGACACTGCCAGATTTAAATGAGTTTCTGGTTTAATTGAATCTGAATCGAAACTAAGCCTGATTAATCTCAGTGTTGTTAAACGTCTTTAAACTTTTTAAGAGGTATTTTATAACCCTACAGAGATAAGTTTAGATTTTAAGTTATGTGAATTGATAAAATCTTACGCTGTTATGTAGATATATTTGTATAGTTATTGTGTGGATATCCTGGTAGGTTGTAAGGTGTAATAAAAACAGGGTAGGCAAAAATTAGCTTTGCTTTAGCCTCTTCCTTTTTTGGTAAAGTGTGGGTTTGTTTATTGTTTTTTTTTTTTTTTCTTTTATTGTTTCCTGTGTTTAATGTTGACAATTTACAAAAATTAAGTGATTGATTATTGAACTTTTTATTATAATAATAAAGTTATTCGCATTTTAATTTTTTTTAAGCTTAAAATATATATATAGTGTTTTGTTAGAAGCAACTGGTACATGCTCGCCATTGGCTTAATTACCCAGCAGTGGAAGTCAAGAGCAAGAGTGAAAGGACAACGCTCCGTTATTTGAAAAACACCCCCATAAAGCGAAACCTGTATAAGCAGGAGGATGAACCAGACCTTATTTAGGCCCTCCATAACCATGTGAGGCATGTGCTCATTCAGCATGGCTGGCGATATGATGACCTCGTCGAACCCCTTGTTGTCTCCCCAGAGAGCAGAGTAAGTCGGCTCTTCCTGTCCGCACCTAGAAAGGCAGAGAGCCAAGCGGTCAGACACCGGACCATGAACACACATTGATTTTCTGGGCAGTGTAAAACAGAACAATAAGATAACTGGTATAAAATGAGGAAACCTTTAAACAAATCCTCTTTAGACCTCATTAAAGATTGTATCATAAAACCCATAAAGTGAAATTTCTAGCAGTTAATGAGATATCATCGGAAATTATAAAGGTATGTAAGTATTTCTCCTCTGCTATGCTGACGTAAAGCAAAAGCTTTTTGAGCTTTAGTAGTAACTACTTTTCAGTAAAATTCAGTAAAACTCAGAAGAACAATAAGCCCTAAATGCTTCTATAGAGTTAGCAACTCAGTCAAAAACCCACCTCAGGTTCTCTTTGGTGACTTTCTCGATTAAAAAGAAATGTTTGGGTTTAGGCTTTAAAACATTATTTATGTGTTTTGAACATTGTTTGAAAGCTCAACGCTTCAGTCTGCAATAAATGTTATGAGACCTGGGAACTGTCTTCATGTTGCTGACAGCTGAAATATAAAAAGGAAGACCTCAAGCAGCAGGATGACGCAAAGCAGCAGACGTCTATCTACAAAATCATAACCTAGAACTGAGACGTTTTTAGCTGTAATTAATGTAATAAACTTTTTCAGTCTGTTTTCTGACCATGACTCTGGTGGATGGTTGTGCACCACGTGGATGATCCTGCCAGGAGGATAGAGAGGTGTGGAGGCCGACGGTGCGATGCTGAGGTCACTAGCGTGTAGCCACAGGCGGCTGCTGGGGGGCGCTGTGGACTGAGATGGAGGATCGTCGTCCTCCACTGGAAGCTCTGATTTCGGGATGCATTTGGTACCGCCCACAATGATCCTCCACTGTTAGAAAAATAAAACATTCCTCTCAAAGTTATCATCTGCCCTTTGAAAAGCAGTTAATTAAATAACGGTTTTCTAAAATACAAAAATAAAAAATACAAATGTAACTTAAAGGTATAGTGGAGGATGTTCTTTTTGCAGGTGGATCGTCAAAGTATATGGTCCTCCTAAATGTCAGTCATTCTGGTGATATGTTTATGTAAGTCCGTCCTACATGCTCGTCCCCATTTTCACTTACCGGTGGGGAGTCTGACATAGTGGAAAAATTGTAAATCTTCTTTTGGAAAGGAAAGTATGAGAGATTCAAACAGCAACTTTTAAACAGAGTATGCATGAGGAGAAATGGGCTTGTGCATGCTCTCACACACATTTTTTTAAGTGGAGATGGCAGATCTTTTTTTCAGAAATTCATCAAAATACTCCACTATACCTTTAAAGTAAACTTGGATAAAATGTTTTCACTAATGTTATCTTCTGTGGTACCAAAACCTACGTTACCTTTGGCTTGTTACTTTTCTGTAAGACCTCCAGAAGATGCCGTCTGAAACCCTCCAGCTGAGACAGGCCGAGCCTAAGACAGAACAGAGGTTATTCTGGTCAATCTGAAACTACGGTAACCAGGAAACATTTGATCCGGTGGAAGAGATACCTTGGCACGAGGTCTTTTCCTAATACCACAGATGTGACAAACTCTTTGGAGTACTCCATGGCATCCTCACTGGGTATACAAAAATACAACATGGAAAACTTGAAAAATGTAAACATATTTTATGAAGAGCCTGAGCAAAAAGGAAAACATCAGCCGTCTGCAAGCAGTTGGACTTCAACCAACAAATGGGCAAAGAGATCATCATTGTCTTTACAATGCAACTTTAGTGCTTTTAAAAAAGTAAACCACCTGAGAATCTGATGCCAGAAAAACACTGGAAAGTCATCACTGTAATATTTCTGATGTTCAACAGCATGTTTTGCTCCAAAAAAGTGACGATTTTGGCTCAACGGATACTTTTTCCCTTTTTTTGCCTTCCAATTATGTTTATTCATTTGGCTTTTGAGACCATTTCCAGACTGAAAGATGCCAGGAACATTGTTTTTCCATCTATTGTTGCCATTAATGAATATAACTTCCTATTTTGTTGTCGTTGTTGTTTTAAGCCTTCCTTATGTAATCAAATAGGTTCTATATACCCATTTTCTTGACTTCACAGGTAAAGAAGTAATCAAGCCCTAACGTGTCTGGTGAATTGAAATTCAGATGTGTGGTTTATGAAGTCGAGCAAGTTTACTTTTACTACAACAAAGGTTGGCAGCTTATTTCCCTATAAAAACCAAACCCCTATTAAAAATGACACCCTTACTCTAATATTAATCCAAGCTGGCCTAAAATATTTAAGTGTCTCAAAACAAAAGAAAAATAGAAGAATTCTGAAAAGGGACCAGTACTTTTCACAGCTTAATTTAAAGCAGGCATCACTGTGCAAATATTAGCTTCCTATGACAACTCGACATAACATTGATGGGCAGTTTTTGTAGGACACAAAACTAAATGATTACATTGGAAACTTCAATATGTAAGAAAGAAAGAGTGGAGTGAGGTTAATGCACTTCTCTACAATACGCCTTTTACAGATAAATGCATGGTAAGTATTTCCTATTCATAGCATGCAAAGACCAAAATCCATACTCCCCCACAGCCAAGCACACATAACATGTGTCCACTATCAGAAAGCTGCAGAGCTGATATGAGGCCCATCAGCTCTTTGTGTGAGCAGCTCTAAGGAGACACTTATGGATGAGACAGTAGACTGCATTCTAGGATGCCTCTAAGGGTCATATTGATCAGTGAGCATGTGTTGGTTATTGGTCACAATTCTCTGGTTGTGAGGGGGGTCACAATTCTCTCTGGTTGTTAGAATTGTGACCCCCCCCCCCCCCCCCCCCCCCCCCCCAAAGCTGTCAAATATCCTCGACAGCTTTAGAAGGAACTTAAAGAAATACGGATGATTAACGTCCTTAATGACCCAAAATATAAATATGTAGGATTAGAAAAGGCAAACATTATGTAACCTAAAGAGGCTTTACAGCAGCCCACCTCCTGCCCAAAAACAACACAGGCACAGTATTTTTTTTTTGGATTTACAAAAAAATTGTCATTGAAAGATCAAAAAATATTTACATGTGATTATTTAAATAAAAACACAAATACATTAAATAAATAAACAGATTTATTTTAACTTGTGCTTATATAATTGAGCCGATATTTTTGTGCATGAGATCAAACAAATATCTTCTGAAAAATTAGGTGTTTATTGCACAGTGGTGACCTGGGAGTAAACCTTCAAAATGACTGGTACCCTTTAAAACATGACAATTCAGCCTCATTTCGGCATTTCATAACTTCTTTCACAGCTCCAACAAAACTTGAACCTTTTTTTTTTTTTTATAAAATGAGATGCCATGTCTTACCTCAGAAGGCCACCAGGTGGAGAATAAGAGTAGCAGTGGAGTGTGGGGTACTGAGGTCTGAGCAGGAAGGAGAGGATAGCAGCAGTGCCTGCCCCAAGAGAGTGCCCGACTATCACCAGCCCATAATGCATGGTGCCCTTGCTCTGTGGGAGACAGTCATTACACTCACTACAGCACAACAAAGGGATGCTTCTTTAGCTGTCGGCAGAATGTGCTTTAAACACAAACATTTGGTTTATGGTAATTTCTGCACATTTAGTAAGGCTTTAAATGAGGTACAACAGCTAATGTCAGCACACATTCTGAACAGGATCCTTACTAAGCCAGACATATTGCACACTGTACACTGAGTCACGTACCAAGTCTCTTCCAAAAGCTTGTGACAAGATCATTTCCTGCTCCAATTTCTTCTTAATGTATTCTGCTGAGTAAACCATTCCCTGAAGAGAATTAGAAAGGGATTCAATAGAGAGAGGGCGGCAAAAAGAAAGAGAAAAATGAAAAGGAAGTCATTCATCTCTTCACAATATCCAAAGCAATTACCCTGCTGTTAACTTTTGAAAGGACTGTCTCCCCTCAGAAAGCTTAGAATATATATATATAAAAAAACTGCACTGCAAAAAAATATCTAGAAATATGTAAACATTTCTTAAGTTAACAGTATTTACCTTTAATTTGTGTCGGTAAAGAAGATGATTTGCCATTAGAATGAGTATTTCTACTCTTAGAATAAGATAATTAGATAATATGCACTTGAAATAAAACAATGCAATAGTTTTTTCTTATCTTAAATGTAAATTGTCTTGTTCCATTGGCAAAGTGTCTCACTTACCTCCTCAATTCAAGAAAAAATGCACTTATTTTGCTAAATTTAGTAGTATGTAGATTTTTTATTTTTTGCAATCTGAGAATTTGGCTTGCTTTTGAGATGTTCAGACTCTAACCTTGTGACCAAGCCAGGTCCCATGCTGCCCCTCCACCGGCAAACGTTCAGAGTCTCCTGTCAGATCAGTCAAGGCGTCCTGACGCATAGAGTATAAGACAGGCGAGACAATTACATTTAAATAATAATCCACAAAGGTGATTTTAAGAGAGGAACAAAAATTAAAAAGGAAAATCTTAATCTCTTAAATGAGTATAGGGTATGAAAAATAGTTCTATTCATCCTTCATAGCCAGTTTGTTTTATAACAACCCTTCAACACAGCAGATGGTAAATGAGATGAAAGAATTGTGTCAGCTGAAGTGATTTCATAAAGCTGAATTCATTTACCTTTATGTTGCTGAAAACTAATTAAATTGATCACACGCTTTCCTGTGAGCATTTTATCTTTTCTAAACATAAAAAGCCTTGTTTCTTATTCTGTTCTGGTTAAAAACTAAAAGAATTTCCAATAAGCATAAAAAAAAGGAGTTTATAGGATATTTCTCTCTAAGAGTGGACAGTCACGCTCTTGTTCTTTGCATGCTGGGTGTGGGAGTTTGAGTGCGCTGTACTGAATATGAGAATCTAACCTGCTCTTGGAGTTCGAAGGTGCCTCTACATTATAGCAAAAATCTATATTGTTATGATAAAGAACAAAACAGACAAGGAAAGTTAAACCACCTTTGGTGAAAGGGTCCCCCTGATACTGATGACGACTTTCTTTTTTGCATGATCCACCGCCACAAAGAACGGAGTTTCGTAAACCTGTTTAAAACAAGCACAACAGCCGATAAATTAACTGTATGTCATTAAAAAAAGAATATGATAAACCATAAAAAAATAAAATAAAAAGGAGACATCTTCCAGACACACTAAAGCTGTTAACATGACCAATCAGTGGCACATGACTGCAGTCATGTTCCTCCTTTTTACAAAGCCTGAGTGGGTGCAGAGGGAAGCATGACGATGCAGCCGAGCCAGTTAATACTGAAACAATTGCTCGACAGATTCTTATCCAACGACTATAAACTTAAATTTATTACAGTGGAATTTTTGGATTAATTCATGCCTTAAAATCTTAAAAGCACGGTGTAGATGAATATTCAGTGCCCTGGTTTAATAGTTAATAGTTTGCAGAACCACCTTTTGCTGCGGTTACAGCTGCAAGTCTTTTGGGATATGCTGTGCACCAGCTGTGTACATCTAGAGTGGAAACTTTAACCATTCTCTTCAAAGCAAATCATGATCAGATTAGAACTAAAAAGCATTTGTGAATATTATTTCAGCTGTGTTTAACTTCAACATTGAGTCACTAAAGAGCCACTATTTCAATTAGCCGTTTACTTTTTTGACAGATGAAGAACTCTTGTGGCAGTGTTCCTGAGCTGTTTGTCTTCCTATTAAAGATTTAAGACCCATTGCTGCCGTCTGCAAATGTTTGCTTGGTATGAGGGATTTCTGCAAAAGTTAAGAGGCCCTTGTTCAAGAGGAGTATTTGCTACAAGTTAGTGACTTGATTGCAGTTGCCCCGGGCTGACCTATTTTATTTCATCTTGCTAAAAATCTACAAGCCCCTAGTTTCACTCCAAGGTTTCATTGTTTTTAATGACCTTGAAAGCTTGCTTGGCCCGAGTCCATTGTTGCGGGACGTTCCTGTTACTTTTTTGTGGATAAGTACCAACTTCTACTCGTGTGCCTGAATCTCCATGTTAGCTGTAAACCTCTCCTCCTTCTGTGTGGTGGTAAACCCACTTTAAGCTCGTTACCATCTGAAGGGGAAGAAAGTCAGTGTCCTAATCTAGTTAAATATGATGTGACCAAAATTGAGTGCCTCTGCAATTTGAACATATTGTTTTGACAAGCTGCAGTTATACTGCAAATGCAATTTTTTATAGGCCTACAGTTGGCTGGAGGGGTTCACTAAATAGAGAAGAATGCATCTTAAATTGAGAATCTGATTTATTTACATCAGGGTTTATTTGGAAAACATGGTATTTAACTCCCACTTCACATTTATTTAACATTACCTGTATCCATTGATGAATGGATCAGAAGAATGGTAAAACAATTATTTTAAAGTTTTGTTTGAAAATATGTTACACATTCAACAGTTGCCTTACATTTGCAATGCAGTGTAACAGGGATCCAGCAAGTCATAAAGCCAGTCCAATCCAAACTCATTCCTGATTCCTTGTTTCAAAAAGTAAAAGATGTTCATTGTGAATTTACAGCAGATATTTCTACACAAAAACCACAAACATGAGGGAGGAAAGGCAAATGGCAAATAAATGGGTAAAAGGACAGAGAAGTCCATTTACTGCTGTCCACCCTTTTAGACTGCAGGACAGAACATTCAGATCAGATAGACAAACTTTTTCTTCCTTCAGTTTATTTTCTTATCCAAATACTTCAAATCAAACAAATTTGAAAACTTTTCGGAAATTGTAATCCCTAAATTAAAGAATTTGTTATATTTTCCATACCTTCATATTGTTACCTTAGTTCTGTTTTAACAGGGTATAAAGGTTGCTGTCAAATCCAAAATAAGAATTAGGAGTCTCCTTCTCTAAAGCGTTGGGTTTGTTAGTTTTCCAATAAAACTACATTGTATAACTGAACATCAGAAGGCAGCTCTAAGCTATTACCTTAAATACGACAACAAATATTTATTTGTTCCTGTTGCATTTCTATGTAATGACATGTAATATTTAGCATTTTAGAAAGCCAGATTTAAGGGGAAGATAAATAATCATTCAAAAGAAAAGGTTACCGCAGACACACATTTTTATGATGGGAGAGTTACAGCACAAGTTAAAATGTCAAAAGAAGATGTCATCAGAGCAGCTGTGCAACACTAAATTTCCTGAAAAATGTATAAAACATACAATCTTCTTTTAGAAAAAAAAAAAAAAAGATAAAGCAGCTCTTGCAGCTTTGCAACCTTTTGTGGTTTTAGGGGATTTTTTTTTAATGGTCACTCTACAACCTGATAGTGAAAAGACTGAGTGCAGAGGAAAGCAAGCCGACCACAAAAGACAGAGTTACCAATTTCAGTCAGTCAGGGGAGGAAGATCGCTTAATTAAACAAGAATTGCTGTCAGAAGCATAAAGAAATAAAAATAGAGTCACAGAGTGTTCTTTTTAAACTGTATATCATCTGCACTCACTAAAATTCAGCTCTGTGACTTTATCCGTTGCTGTCATAAAGGCACATCAGTTCCTCCTCGTTCTGTCCTCACACGTCTCCCACAGAAGAGAATAAAAGGTACAACACTGTGCTGAGAATGCAGTCTGAAAAGAGTTATAGTTCCAGCTGTCCAGCTACCCTGGAGCAACTCTGCTTTTCTCTGCCATCAAGGCCTTTTTCCATCCTGCCACAGTCTTAGGTCAGTGAATTTATAAATGGAAACCTAGGGCTGGTTAAACTCGCTGAGGAGCCCTCTGCTCTGCAAATTAGTAGCCCAAGCGCAGCTTTTTAGTAAAAATATCTCTGCTACACAATAAACCCGTTTTAATGTCTGTTATTGACTTTTTTTCAAATGTAAAAGAAAAGACGGAACGGCAAAGCTAAACCTCTAATATAATTACCACAGCATTTTATTACCAGGGCATCGGGTTTAGAGAGATAAAAAAAATATTTTAAAATGGCTGACCATTTTCTTAGGTAGATTTATTTTAATGTGTAGCAATTACACTCTTGCACAAATGGGCTGAGGTGTCCTTTTTCAGCCCATTCACTTAAATAAAGTGCAGATGAATAATAAAGTGTTTGATCACACCAACAGTTTAAAACAAAATTCATATGACTGTGGGGTTCTTCAAATGCTGAGGGTGTTTGCTTTCACAGCAGCTCCGGTTCACAGCTGATGTGATCAAGACACAAATTAAGAAAAAAAAATACAGAACAAACCAAGGATTTATGTTGCAGAGCCACTGTGCTACACAGCATTTGTTACAGACAATGTTTTAAACTGTTGCATGCTCGTAACTGTGTGCACAACTATTCATGCCTTTGATATTTTTCATATTCTATCACATTACAACTAGAAATTCTCTTGTATTTTACAGGGATTTTATTTGACAGACCAACATGTTCCACAGCTGTAGGACACATGTTTTTTAATTGATTGAAATAAGAATCTGAAAAGTATAGTGAGCATTTGTTTTTGCCCCTGAAAGTCAAAGATTTTGACATTGCAAAACATAATATTGGTAGTTGCTGGAAAAATAACGCAGTTACTGTAATGCGCTAGTCCCAACACTGGATTTATGAAGTACAACACTGTGTTTTTTTTTGTATTTTATAAACAAAACCCAATAATGTATATGTAGTGCATGAGGCTAAGCTGAGCATGCTGCTCTGTGCTGTGAGATGACTTTGTAATATCATCTTGACAAAGTCACTGATGCCCAGAGAGACAAAGGAAAGGCTAGTGATATTTGAGGATGGAGCTTTGAACAAAGGTTTAGGAGATACTGTTACTGATTCAGAAATGTCTTTGGTGTAAGTTTTTCTGCATCTTATCTACTTATTTTTAACAGCATCACACCAGAATTTCCACATTTGGAGAAAATAAAAGCACTTCTTCATTTATGCTGTCTCTCCCTGTACAGAGTGCAGCTCATGTCCCTCTCTTTTTAATAGCAGAATAACAACCGCACTTTTTCACCCAAGCTGCAGATCTCTGTAGTTCCTCCAGAGCTACTTTAAATGCCACACATTTTTCTGGGTTTTACTTAAGGGTATCAGAGTGAAAGGGTTGATTTATACATTTTTATCTTTTCCTTCTTCAGTTATATTCTACTTTGTGTCAACATGAATTCTTATTAAAATACAGTGAAGTCTGGTGTCCTAATATGACCTAAAGTTGCAGGGCACCATCTAAGACCTTAAAATGAAGGGTGAGACTGCAATTCACTTCTGCAAGGCATTTTAAGTAAAATGTTGGCCTGTTGTTGTGAAACCTCTGTACAGAATTCATGCTTCATTCTGACCTAAAAATAAATCTTAGAACATTTCTGATTGCTGAATTACTCACAGCATCATGGCAGGATGTGTAGACAATGTGAACCTGCTTGAGATCCTGATCGAGGAACTGTCTGCGTATGGCCAGGACGTTGCAACCGCAGCAGTTGTCCTCTTCCACCGTCACAGACTGAGACAACCGAGAGCCAGACACTGATGAGCTGCTGGGCAGAAAGAGCATGATACCATGGGGTGGAAAGAAAGAAAACAGATTGGTGTTAAGATTGTTCATCGGACTGCAGATTAAGTGGACATAACAGAAATGCAGTAACAGCATGTAAGATAACAGGGATATAATTAGCAGTGCAGGGAATCTGGGTGCGAGCATGTGATAAATTCAACACTGCTTGTGTCAGTGAGTGGGTCTAACTGGAGTGGTATTGTCTCAGTGGATTACCGCTTGGCAAGTGTTGACGCATGCGAAATTTGATCAGTGCTGAAGAGGCTCAAGAGACACAGAAACCAAATAGATATAAATGTGCGGGTGTGCGCTCGAGTGCTTACGGGCAGGAGCTGGCGAGGCGGCACAGCCCACAGCCAGGCTTCCTCATCAGGTACATGGGCCAACCATATGCAGCCAGGGCAAAGAGCATATAATAACACACCTCCTTGTACATGTTCATCTCAGCCTTGAAGGAGCAAACACAAAAACTTGCATCAGAGTGAGTGAAAGAGGAGGAGCAGAACATTTCTTACAGTTACTCAGATCCAGTGGGTTTTCAAAAGCCTCAAATATTATTTTTTTTTAATTCTGGGAACAGCAGAAAAGAAAGAAAAGCCAGCTCTGGTTCAGTCAGTCTACAAAACAAAAAAACTCACAGAGTTCTTGAGGTCCAGGTATCTGGTACTACGAGTAACTGGTATTCCTGATAAGAACGCTATAATGTCATTGTTTGCCTGTGAAAAAAAGACAAGAATTTATCTTAAATTGTGATTTTGATGTATTTCTATATTTTCTTTTTAAAGAGTCCTACCTGGCCCAGGACATTGGATCTTTTAGACCTCTGTGTTTGACGGAGAAGCACGAGTCCGGCAATAATATCACTCGGCACAATGTCCAGGTCTCTGAAGAACTCCGCAAAAAGACTGGCAACTTCCGAATATGCATCCTGGTCACAAAAACGTCAGACAACAGCATCCACAGATCAAAAACTTTAGTGGTAGGGCAATCTTAAAAAAAAAAAAAGTAAAAGTGCAATATCACAGTTGCAAAGCAGTGTTTGGTCTCTCTGTAGATGCTAACACTCCAGGACAGTGTTGGTGATGGCACAGAAAGGTGAGGAAAACGTAGCTTTTGACTCATTTGAACAATGTCTCATTTTATGTTTTCCTAATATTATGTAGCTCAGATCAGTGTGCAACATCTCAACTAACATGTGGAGTAGATCACCCATCATCAGCAGGGAGAGTGGAGGACAATAAGAAACTGATTTAACTTGCTTAACATCGTTAAAACCACATAATGCTTGAGAGGAGTACTTCCTCTCAAGCCTCGTTAATTAGAAATACTTATGAACCACTTAGCTTAGCGTCCTCTACAAGACTAATGCTAGATAACAGGCAGAAGAAAACATGAATAGTGACCGCTCAATGCAATTTTTTCATCTCAAGATCGAACCACTTGACCGAACCCTTTATACGCCATCATGTTTGTTAAATTCAAATGTCTATTTGAGTTGCATCCACTGAAGACACAATGATTCATGAATCATTTCAGGGTCAGAATTACGTTATTAATCCCTTGTGGGAAATTCTGTTCTTGCAGTGCAACCATTTACAGAACAGATTTCCATCTGATGAATTGTACAACATAAAATGATCAGTGTTTCGTTCTGTTCACTTACATTTTTAGTCACAACAAACAGAAAAGTGGGTTGAGCTTTGTTTAGACTCACCGATTGAGTATCTTGAGCTCTTGTGCAACACATGAAGAATTTCAGTCTTCTGCTCCAGCTGCTGGCCTGGCCCTCTTCTAGTCTGTGTCTAATAGCAAGAGAAGCCCCAATACCACAGATTAATTAAAGAGAAAGATAGATTACGGTAAAAGAAAGGATGCGTCATCAAAGAGGCAGTTTGTACCTAAGAGTGTATGTAGTTAGGTTCCGCTGTCGCCGACGGGTTGCTTTGAGCTTTACAAAAGTCCGTCCAGTAGGATCGAAGGTGCACATGAGGGTAATGCAAACGCTGAGGATCACCAGCCAGTTACATGAAACGATTCCTGGAAAGAGCGTTAAAAAGATCATTTTACTTCTAACATAAAAAGCTTAAGACTTTAATATTTTTTTCTCATCTCTTCTTTCAATCATTTATTCACCGACCCAAAGCCAGGTTTTTTGCAGTGACATCAGAGCACGGCTGGTAATACTGGACGAGCCAGGCAATTCCTACTACAGCATACACTAGTTCCACAAGAAGAATAGCTAAAAAAGAAAAGAGAAATTATGCTCCAAATGCATTTTCAATCCAACAATATACTGTTAAATCTTGTAGCTTTTACTAACTGGGATTAAAAATCTTCAGAGAGGAAGGGCGGTGTCTCACCTAGTCTGATGTAGATAACATACTGCACAGCTTCCCTGGGTTGCGTGTACAGAATGCTGCCCCTCATGCTCAACCACATGATGGCACTTTCACATATGAGGCAGCTGACAAGGATGCCCAAGTACCCTCTTCCATGATCCACCAGCGTGCTGGAGCACGACAGGTCTGAGCCGTACCCGAGGCCGAAGAGAACCACGGACAGTACCACCAACCTGTGGGAGAAAGATGGGAGAGAAATAAGTCTTTTTGCATAGATTTATTGTTAAAGCCAATAATCAGACACATTATGAAGAGGCTGCTGCTGTGAAAATGGTGGGAATCCATAGAGCTGCTGAAACAGTGACTCACCAGATACAGTGCAATAAAAAAAGAAAGAGGGCAGGCAGCACTAGGTCATCACTGCCGACTGACCAGCGCCGCCGAAACATCACCATCCCAGGCATCACTGCCCTGTGAGGGGAAAAAAAAAGTGTTTTAAAATTCACAGACAAAGGATTTTCCAAAATTTTCTCTAAGCCTGAAATGTCAACCAGCATCAGGAAGTGATACAAAGCCAAAATCTGTCATAAACCTTCAGCGTGTGCTGGAAGAGATGACGTTACATTCAATAGCCATATAGCAGAGGTCAAAAATATCAACAGGTTCGGTGTCCTTTTTTAAGGACACCGGAGGGTTAAAATGAAAGAAAACAAAAACAAAAGAGTTCACAAATGATACACTGCTTTGATTTAACCTCTTAAAAAATAAAAAGATTCCGGTCATTTCCTACAGGTTAAAAATTTTATTCACAGTGCAGAAAAAAAAAAAAAAACTACACGTATACTAATAGTTAAATATTGCCTACCTATTTATGGTTAGCTGAGCAATTGATAACTGGTGCCAGTAATTCCTAAGCTATAACTCAAGCCTTGACCTACAAACTAATAAAACAATCTTTACTTCTGAAACATCCAGCTGCACATTGCAACAACTTGAAATAGCAGAGATGTATTACTGCTTAGTAAGAATAAACTGCACAGGTATTCTGCTAAATATGAATTCAAGTATATTGCCTGGACAGATTTATTGAAATGATCTAGCATAACATCAAACTATGGTTTCAAGAAATGTCCTCACACTGGTATATATATATATATAAAAAAAGTATAAAGAAAAGTGGGCTCCACTTTTAATTAATAGAATAAAAGATCTAATGCTTTTCATTTTCTTTTCTTTCGGCCCTCACTCTTAATGCGCTGAATTCCATCTTCCCTCCTTCAGAAATCACCTCAACTGAAACATCTTTTATATAAAGTAGGGAAACACCAATTTAATATTATGGGCCATTATTGATGTCCAATATTAATCCTGAGGGGCATAACTATCAGAGTTGCACACATAACACATGGCCAACACCCTCCCCATCCAAAACACATATACAAGCTGTAACTAGACACAAGTAAAACTGGTTTTCAATATCAGCTATCGCTGGGCAATAAATCCGTATCCATATATAATATACTAGGACAGATACCTGATCAGTATCATTAGAAAATACATGAAATAGAATTTTCTATAATTTCACTGATCTGATCCAGGATTGCCTGGCATTTAGCCTCTCAACCTCTCCGGGCCAAAGCTAAGCAAAGGTTGGTATTATTAGAATTAATCACAATTCAAATTCTTTCTTTTCCCTTTGTCTTTATTTTGAAAGGATAAAATCAAAACATAATAAAAAAATAATAAATTATAAATACTGACTGAAATGAAAGGCATATATCATTTTTCAGCCATGCTGCACAGTCCAAATACGGGCCCAGTTTTATGTAAGGAATGATTATTGATTTGTTAGATTATTACCAGCATCAGTCCATACAGATGATAATGCAGATATAACATCCATCCCTACAAAGAAGTCATTTAAGTCAAAGCCGTAGGGATCATAAAGTTGTTTTGTTTTGTTTCTTTATTAAACAGATTAATTTCTCCATCAAATGTGTTTCTCCATCAAATGCTTTGGAAAAACTTACAGCTCAAAAGAGAAATTAATTACTTGGTTGGTTACTAAAATAAAATAATAAAAAAATAATATTAATCAGATATGGGGCTCTTTTTTATTTTTATTTAAATCAAGCAAGCATTTTAGTTTAAATAACACATTTTGGAAAACAGAGGTAGAGACCAGGTAGGGCTGGACAACGTGAGCAAAAATTGAGTTACAGTATATTCCTTAATTTTAGTTAATATCATATAAGTGGAACATTAACATAAACAAAATAAAAGCCCCAGAAAGACTGGCAAGAATGCCCGGAAGAGAATCCTGTACAAACAAATAAAATTATTTTGCAGAGTCTATAAAAATCCTCCAGTATAATATTTTAGAAATATTTATTGAAGAAAAACCAACAACATAAAACCCGACATAAAACTCAGAAAGTCAATCAATTACTAATGCTGTAACCATACATTTTAATGTATACTGAAATATTGTAAATTTATTAGAAAAGAAATCAGAGTTATCAAATACAATTATATAGTGGTATATATTAATATTGAATTGATGTGTAACACTGAGCGCAGCAGCTTACAGTGTTTCCATTCAAATGAAAGCTTTTACAGATCATCACACACCAGCAGTTTTCTCTCTAGTTCATTTTGCTCAGACATTGAGAAAAAAACAACAACATGCTCATTTATTCAACGTTTAAAAGAAAGAAAAGTGCATCTAAGTGGCTCTAATTATTATATGTTGTTATTTTAACAAAGTGCCAAAGTCATTAACAGGACTATTTTCTGAAATATGATTGATTTTTGTTTTTAATATCAGTCTATTTGAACAAAAATACTTTGTCAAAGCTATAACCCAGGTAACCATATGACATGTTTCAAGGAAAGAGAAGAAATATTTCAAAAATGTAAAAAATTCCCTACAGCTATTTCCTGTGTTTTAACTTTATTTGTAATCTAGTCTGGTCTGATCTTCATATCAATAGAAGTACTAGAGACAAACTTATTGTGAAAACTGTTGATATTTTCAACACTTTTCAACCAACTGTGATAATATCTAAAGCAGGAAATCAAAAATAGACAAAAACAAAAAGGAATTAGAAAATATCTGCTGTTATTTTGCTCATAGATATTATAACATATAATTAACGAAATTATAAGAAACACTTGACACCTTATCAGCTACTTTTCCCAAAACCCATGGGCTATGATGCTTTAAATATGAACCCAACTTAACAGTCCATGCGAAAAAAAAAAAGAAAGAAAAGGCATGGCAACAGTTCTGTGCATTGCTCCTGTCTAACATAAAAATGTCCTCTTTTTCTTAATTTTCTCTTATTTTAATTTATAAACTCTTCCATTTGCCTTCAAGTAAATGTTTTAAGGTTTCTAAAACAAGTGGAGATCAGGCTGTAATTATTTGGGATGGGATTGACAGAAAAATTGGACTCCTGTATTTTCTGCTGATGTTATAAATCCTTTTTTGATAAAACGTCTGGCCTGACAATGACCACATTCATTATGCTGCTAAAGCCTGCATTCAACGCCTTTATTTCGTTTGTAGTGTTATACAAATGATCATTCATACTATGGTGGCAGTGGCGATTATCTCATGAAACACCATACAAACCATACAATAGTGTCAACACAGGAAATTAAAAAGCAGTAGGCACGACCCATTACTTTAGTAATTAAAGTAAATACAAGAACAGTGTTTTCAATAAACTGGAGACCTTGTACACTGGTACAACAAAATATATGATTTGTAAGAAGCAAAAAAACAACAACAAAACACTTGTTTTGTTTCATTAGACAAAAAACAAAAACAAAGCATCTTAATGATTTATAAATGCAATGGGGCAAAAAGGTCTGCCACTGATTATGCAAGTTGCCCTAATTAGAAAGTCTACCCCATCAGAAAATCACACTGTAGGATTTTTAAAGAATGTATGTTTAAATTGTGGTGGAAAATAAGTATTTTATCAATAATCAAAGCTCTACTGAATTTCCTCCAAAATAACCTTCGATGGCAAGAACTCTGGTCAAGTCTTCACCAGGAGGCCGTATTTATCAAACTTCTTAGAATTAGAATTAGTCCTTAGAGTGGACTTATGAATTAAAAAAAGTTACGTTAAAAGCTGCACTTAAAACTTATTAATCAGGTGTCTCATTTACACTCTTAGCAAAGTGTGCAGCTCTCATAGTGGGTTACAACAGCACCTGGTGCAGCAAATGGAATTTTAGATTAATCAGTTGTACAACCTTATATTGCAATAACATCTGGTAGACCTATTGAAAACACCTAGATAAAAAAAAAAAAATTACATTGCTCTTATTTGAAGGTCTATTTAGACCTGTTGATGTACATAGCCAAAACTGTACTAAAAAAAATGTTTTGGGATTTACAAAGCAGGGGAACAAGCACGTTTCTTTTAGGAATTAAGGCTAATTTCTGATAATTAACTTTGGAATCAAAGCAATCAGAGAAGTTTCACCAGTCACATGCAGGATTAAAAAATGAAAAAAATAAAATAAAAAATGCGGATATGCTGTAAGCTCATGCATTAGTATCTACTGGCCACAAGCTATTTATTTAGTTATTTTCCATGGATTTGTAACACACAGTCACAACTTGATCATCTCAAGTTTTATTAATGCACGGCCACAGAATAATGTTGTGGCTGTGCTTAGTTTATGCATGGGCACCAGTTATTTTTATCCTGATGTTTTCAGATGTTATTTTTTGAGAAACTAATGGAAATGCAGTTTATTTTTCATTTCCGGTTAGAGTATTGTAGTAGCTTTTAATTCCAGCATAAAGCTCTGCTGCATGTGGTTATCAGTGAGACTACAGCCCTTGTGTATGAATGATATCTGCTCTGTCCAAACAATACGTCTGATCAGCCATGTGTTGTTAAAGCCAAAACGTCCTCCGCCCACAGAACGTCCGTGCATGTCTCTCTCACCTCAATACCATCACCTAGTGGCAACTTCTACCCACTTAAGACACCACTGGAGGCCTCTATTTAAAGTAGATAAAGTTGATAAATGGCTTTCATTCTTAAGTTTGAGAGTAGGAGCAAAACCCTAAATTCTTAGCACTAAATAAACACTAAGCAGTGTGATAAATACAGATTCATGTTTGCAAACACCAGCTAGTTATTAGGCCCATTCCTCCATACAAATCTCCTCTAGGGGGTTTATAGTGAAAATGCCTCATCTTTTTTCAGTAGAACTTGTACTGTCAGTGGCTGTCACTACATTTGATATATTTTACTTGTTGTGTGAAGCTTTATTTTCATCTTTTGAGGAAAACATTTTATTTATTTTTTTTCCAATTTTGACAAAAGATTCTAAAGCATTTTTTGAATGAACAAATAAACTAAATGGGACGTAATGGATTAGGTAATCTAATCCAAAAGATGAAAATTGGTTGATAAACATTACAACTGGGAGGAAATATT